AAGGGGCAAGCATATGGTACTTAGAGCCGGACTTGTGACTTTTTCTTGAGAGAGATGATGAGTGAACTTCCATTTACCTCGTTCTGAGTGCTACTATCTTAAAGGTGAGGATTGCTTAGGGAGATTTGAGGATGTGTGAGTTTGGGTTCCACAATGACCGAAGTAATAGAAAAGAGTTCTTTGATGTGTTGAGTCAATTCTTGATGCTCTTGTGTCGCACTTAATCCATGGAGTTTCAAAGAGTAAAAGTTGTTAATGATTCATTTGTATTGAGGGCAATTGTTAGTCCCAATTGATGCTAGATGAGGTTACTTTAGGACAGCTAACAATTTCTTGGATTTTCCCTTAAGGGGTGGGTCTTATTTTGTTTGCTTGAGGACAAGAAAAAGCTTAAGTTTGGGTGAGTTGATAACTAGGGATTTTAACACATTTTATACTCCTTCTTGCTTATGCTTTGATTAGAAATTCATGCCAAATAGTCCCAAAAGGCTCACAAGTTGTGCTTGATTGTAGGTTTGGTCAACAAAGTGACAAGATGTCAAAGATCAGCTCAAAAGGAGTGAAACTAGCACAAGTACCAAGACAAGATAAAACTCAAGCAAAACAAGGCCAGTGCGGCCGCACTACATTCTGTGCAGTCCACACTAGGAGATTCAGAGAGGCTACAATTCGGCCGCACTAGGTTTTGTGCGGTCCGCATTGGAGTTAATGCGGCCGCACTCGATTTAGTGCGGTCCACAAACCCAAGGATCAGAGAGATGCCAGATGTGAAGTTCCAAGCCAATGTGGTCCGCAGTCCATTCTGTGCGGACCGCACTAGACGCCTCCGCGGTCGCAGACCATTCTGTGTGGTCCGCATTGCCCGAGTTCAGAGAGCTGTAGTTTCAAGTTCAGAGCCCTAGTGCGGCCGCACTCTATTTTGTGCGGTCCGCACTAACCCGGCAGGGGTTTTTTTGTCCAAATTTTTCAGCTTAGTATAAAATAGCTTCTTTTTCATTTTTAGGGCATCAGATATTGTAAGCACTTAGCTGCGCTCGTGGGTTCGACTTTCTTAGCCATTTTGGGCAATTTTATCTACTTTTCATCATTGAATCTTGTTATTTACCTTAGTAATTAATTAATATGAGTTGTTCTTCATCTATTTCTTGTTATTCCTCTTCAATTATGAGTAGCTAGACCCATAGGCTAGGGTTGTGGCTCAACCCTAGTGTGGGTAATTGAGGGGTCTTGTAATTTAGGGCTAGATTGACTATGGGTGTTTGATATTTGGGTCAATTTCATGGTTAATTGCTAAATTAGTGGTTGCAAACACTAGTTTGTGTTTAGTTGACTTGGTCTCTTCTTGAGAAAGAGAGTCTAAGTCTTCGAAATTGGTCCAACAAGGAATTGGGGCGTACTCAAGAGATTGATAGCCCCAATTAAAGGGTTAAACCTCGAGAGAGTAATACGCGACTTGAACCCTAGTTGCTTGTACAAATTTGCATACCCAATTGGTCTTGAGAAAGTCAATTAGGGCAAAATCACTCGAACCACCGAGAGGTGTAGAGTGGGTAAAGTCGTGCAACGGTTATATCATACTCCCCAACTATGTCAATCGTGTCTTAGATTCAATTACCCGTCAATTAACCACCTAGGTGAAAGTCACTACCCTAGTGCCTTTTAAACCATTTGAACAACCCCTTTTAGTTTAAATCTTCGCTTAATCTAGTTTCATTTACTATTTGTAGTTGGATAAGAGTAGAATTAAATCAAAAACACCAAAAATGATTAGAAGTGTAATTTGGAACACATACGCAATCCTAAACTAGATAGATACTCGATTCCAATTTCCAGCTCTCTGTGGATATCAATCCTGACCCAAAATTGGGTAAAAGCTGCTCCGACCCTCTCTCGCTACTTAATTAGTAGTGCGGAGTAGGCCGCGATCATCTAACACGTGAGATGGATCTCCGAGACACTTTTGAAGCATGGACACATGGAACTGGATGGGCCGCTGATAAACTAGGTGGCAACGCAAGTCTGTAATCCCTTCTTTCCCACTCGATCAAGAATATCAAAAGGCCCGATGTATCTAGGGCTCAACTTGCCCTTCTTTCCAAAATTCATTACACCCTTCATGTGACACACGGAGCAAAACTCTCTCTCCGACCATGAATGCAACATCACGGACCTTACGCTCGGCATAACTCTTATGCCTGGACTGAGCTGCACGAAGTCTATCTTGAATGATCTTAACCTTATCCGAGGCATCCTGTACCGAATCTGTACCCAATAGCTGATCCTCCCCCGAATCAAACCATCCAATAGGATGCTCGACTGGTAGTTGTTGTTGTTGTAGGAAAACTATGCAAGTGGCAAGAACAGATCTCAAGAGCCTCTGAAGTCAATAACACAGGAGCGGAGCATATCCTCCAATATCTGAAAGTGCACTCGGACTGTCCGTCCATCTGAGGATGAAATGTTGTGCTCAACTCAACCTACATGCCCAACTCACGCTGCACTGCCCTCCAGAAATGCGAGGTAAACTTCGTACCTCGATCAGAAATGATAGACACGGGCACACGTGAAGACGAACAATCTCACGGATATAAATCTCTACCAACCATTCTGAAGAATAGGTAACTGTCACAGGAATGAAATACGCTGACTTGGTCAGTCTATCCACAATAACCCAAACTGCATTGAACTTCCTCTGAGTCTGTGGGATTCCAACAATGAAATCCATAGCGATACGGTCCCACCTCCACTCAGGAATCTCTATCTTCTGAAGCAAACTACCAGCTGATGCTTGTACTTTATTTGGTAACAATTTAGACACCGAGCCACATATGCCACTATATTGTTCTTCAGTCTCCTCCATCAATAATGTTGTCGCAAGTCCTGATACATCTTGGCGGCGCTCGGATGAATAGAATACCGGGAATTGTGGGCCTCCTCTAGAATCAACTCACAAAGTCCATCCACATTAGGCGCACAAACACGACCCTGCATCCTCAAAACTCCATCATCTCCAACCATAGCCTGCTTGGCATCTCCGTGCCGCACTGTGTCCCTAAGGACAAGCAAATGAGGGTCATCATACTACTGCTCCCTAATACACTCAAACAATGAAGATCGAGCGACCGTACAAGCTAGAACACGACTGGGCTCAGAAACATCCAACCTCATGAAATGATTGGCCAAAGCCTGAACATCTAATCTGGTAAATACCGACCAAAAAAATCGATCAACTTTGGTCGGTTATGGCCAATTACCGACCAAATACGCTTGGACGGTATTTTGATGGTCGTTTTAATATACCGACCAAAGTTAATCGGAAATTACTGACCAACGTTGGTCGGTCAATTAAATTCAAAAAAAAATTATTGCAAAAAAACCGACCAAAGTTGGTAGGTTTTTCCGACCAAAGTTGGTCGGTATTTTAATTATGTAATCAAAAGATTCACCATCTGGGAATAGAACCAGGGTGTGTACTGTGGCAGGATACTATTCTACCACTAGACCATTTGTGCATTTTGTTTTAAGATTTTCTTTTCTTTTATTTATACTCTTTAATTGTATTTTCACACGAAAATAACCGACCAAAGCTGGTCAGTTTTATTAAAAAATAAAATTACCGACCAAAGTTGGTCGGTTTTTTAAAATGACCGGTCGAATTTACCGATCAAAGTTGGTCGGTTTTTTTAATATTAATTTTTATTTATTTTAATTGTAAAAACCGACCAAAGTTGGTCGGTTTCTTAAAAAATAAATTTTGCGGGACTCAAAAATATTTTCCCGCATTTTTGCGCCAAAGAAAACCGACCAAAGTTGGTCAGTTTCGTAAAAAAAAAATTAAAAATTAAAATATTTGAAAAACCGACCAACTTTGGTCAGTTTTTGGCCGGTTTTTTGACCGACCAAAGTTGGTCGGTTTTTCTTGGTCGTTTTTGCCGAATTTCTAGTAGTGTTAATCAAATTTAAGAATTAAAAATAAAAATATTACCTAAATAATGATATGTTCTATTAATTTTAAATTATCAAAATACCATTTCAAATTCGACAAAAATATAAGAAGTTAATAGATCTTGACATATATGAATATGGAAGAACAAGAGATTGGCCATACTTGATAAGAAATTGATGATACAACCCATTATTTAAAGTAAATAAAAATGGAGCACTATATAAATATTACATTACATAAGAAAATTCCAAATATTTTTAGATATTTTTTAAAGAAAATTCTACATAAAATTTTAAAAGTATATATAAAAATTATATATTTATTAAACCAAATCTAATCATTTTTTAATAGGATTGGTTTGACTTTTTGACTTGGTGCAATTTTCGATTCGATTACCGGTGCAAATATACCGGGATATGTTGCACCATATGACAAGGGGTTGCAAATTTATCATAGATGGTAAAAATTACCTTTCTTTAATTTCCTTATTGGCAGAACTCAATATTGCATAATATAGGTAAAAAACCACTCCTTATAAAACGTTATTAGTACTCCAAAACTACGCATTTTAACGTATCATAACAAGTTAATTGCATTATTTTCTGGGTAACAAATTACAGTTATTATGAATTGTTCTCTGTAATGATTTCATAGATAACATATTTATATAAATTAAATTGATTATTTTTACATTGTTAGTCCGCATAAGTTAAAGGGAACTTTAAACAAATAGCCACACCACGTAATATCACACTAACTTTTTCTAAATGCAATTTTGTACATGCCCTGAAAAGAAAGCTTTGTACAATTCTAGGCTTCTAAGCAATATATTTTGGAAAGATGAGTACTAATACATTTATTTAAATTTCATTAATTATGATTGAAATCGATTAGAGCTGTTGCCAGAATCATGGATTATAGCTAGGAAACTAACTAGTAACAAACAATCTAATAGAGTTTGAGTAGGAACAGGACGTTGACCAAGTAATTTTAGTGTTTATATATATAACACACTTGTGTGTACAAAATTAATTAATTAATTAATTAGGGTTAAGAAAAAGCTAAAGCCGATGGCTAGAGAATTAAGAGGTAAAGTGATGTGGATAAACGCATGGACATGTGGGTTTTTATTTTTGCTCTTTAAGATATTTTATGGCATCTTGCATTTGGATTCCCAGGGTCGTGAAAATTGCTTCTTAATTGTTACTCTTATTACAATGCAAATTCTTTGTATCTTTTTGTGCAAATATAGCCACCATTTAGAGAAGATAATCTCACAACACCTCCTTATGAATATGGTGACTCTTGTGGCCTTTCATGTAATTGCTTTTGCCTACGCTTTATCAAAGGAAAATTATAATATGCAGATCAATGGCTGTTTTATAGTCATTTGTTGTGTTGATATTATAATTATTTCTACGTATAAGTTGGTATCCACGTACTATGATTCAGTAGCCATTTCAATGGTACTTTTTTATATATTACTAATTGCTACAATCCTGCTACGAATTTATGTCAAAGGTATCGCTCATCTAATGACTGCAATTCCAGCTCTACTTGCGCTTATTGCCATGGTAAGTACTTGGAGTAATTAAATTTTAGGTTTTGTTCTTATATGATGTATGCACTGATTCTTATTCTTTCTCTCCAATTTTTTGGGGTTTGTTGTTGTTTCAGTTCACTGATCCGACCCGTTCGAGAAATTCTACAAGTTTGTCAATTGGCACTGGTGCTTACACATTGATTAGAAGACATGATCCTTGAGTTCCCTTGCAATTATGTTGTTGGCTAAACATATATAGACGTTTGAGATGGTGGAAAGATTTGTGTTATATTGCTAGTACTAGTAGAAATAAAGAATGTTTGACCAAGTGTATTCAACTTGAGAGTTCTAAATCTAGCTAATGTTTGACCAAGTATATTTAACTTGAGAAAGAGTTCTAAATCTAGCTAATGTCATACTGATACGACCATATCCAATTCAACTAACATTAATTCGTTTCAAAATCCAAACTAGGGTCATGGCTCTAGTTTGGGTCCGGCTAGCCTATCACACCTAGCGATGCTGCCAACGTTAAGGTAGCCAGCGTCTTTTGAAGCACTTTTTATTTGTAATGTTAGCACACTAGACAAATAAAATGAAAAGTATCTTTCTCTCTTGTTTAGTATAGAAATTTTTTTACCTTATCTTGTAGGTGACGTCGAGTGAACCCTTAACCCCTGTTGTATCAACTACCCTAAAGCAAATATTATGTGGCCAAGCGGCCTAAGGGTGTCAATGGATATTTGAAAACCGACCGAACCGTATCGCACCGAATCGAATTTTAGGTTTATTTTAAAGAAACCGTAGGTTTTTATATAAATCTATAATCGTACCGATAATTAGGGTAGGTTTTTTATTTTATAAAAATAAACCGAAAAAATATCGAACCGTACCGAATAAATTTTACATGTGAAAAATAGATTTAAAGAGTAAGTTTAAAACTAATAAAGCATTAATAATTTTATTGGGCCTTGAAATTATGAAAACTGTTACAAGCCAACAAGTAATTAAACTCAAAATACTAATTCCTAAAAGGGAAAATTTCACATTAGAACAACTAGGCTCCATACTTTCAATTTTATAGCCCATATTTCAATTTACAACCAACTAGCCCATAAATAATAGGCTAAGATTCAACATCCAACTCCAATAGGTTCTCAAAATCACTTTTTAATTTTTAAAAAAGATTCCGCAAGCTTTTAAATTAATTTTCGAATCAGTAATTGTGACTCAAATATAAATTCAATAAACCAAATTCATTTGGGTGGTGAAAATTAAATTTTTAACAAGCTTAAATATGTGGGTTTAAATTCCGAATTTGATTTTGTGAGAAATTTAGAGTGGGTGTTATTTAGACTTGTTAGAAATAGTATAAGGAGGTTGTATATAAAATTTGAAGTCATTTAATGGAGATATGGACTGGTTTTGAGCAAGAATTGCAACTGAAAATCGTGGAAGAAGTTCGTCTACAGACGCTTGTATAAAGGTGTATAAAAGTGTATAATAGTGCATAAGGTGTGTTTCTACACTTATATACAACATTATACAAGATTATACATAATTATACAAAAAACTGACTTCGTCTTCTTCCTTGTGTCTTTTCTGAAATTTAACTCAAATCTTGCTCAAATCTACTCCAAATCACTTCAAATTTAAATTTTGAACTCCTTTTGATATTTTCAATCAACTGGAACAATACCCAATCCAAACAACTAACAAATTCAAAAAAACTCATTTTCAAGAGCAAAGCTTTGAATGGTCTTCAATGGTGAACTTCTACTCTTCAATTTTCTTTCATTGCAAGTAGGTGACACAAGAGGAGAAGCAAAAAATACATGGCCCTTTGAAGCATATGCAGAAGATGTGAGAAGAAGAGAGAGTGAAAGCAATAGTTGTGA